GACTTCTAAAATGCCATGTAAAAGTAAAGTTGGTCTTTCAGTGTTCTGTAGCCGGTCTGAGCTAAATTGTGCAAGCTCTAGCAAAAAGTATTAGCCTGTACATAAATGATTTCTCTTGTTTTTTTATTCTTCCAGTGAACGGGAAGTCCCTAGGGTCCTGTTAACTGAGACCAGTAAAGACTGTCACACTTGTCAATAGAAACAGGTTTTACACCTAACAATAAAATATTTTGGCACTTTCTAATGTGTATTTGCTCTTAGCTCTATTCCCCTTAAGAGAGATGCTGGCACTTTTACACATTTGCTGGGGATGGGGAACATTTGAAGCCGCTCTGTGCTCACTTTTTGGAGGACAGGGACTTGTCTCATTCCATGGTACACCATTACCTTCTTAAGCAGTTAGCACCTTCAAATAGTCAGGCAACATTTTCCAAGACACTGTTTTGATTTATCAAGCATATAGGACAACTTCCAGATTTCTCTTATGCTGGTTTCCCTTCTCCTCCCAGTCAAGACCTCTGTTTCCCATGGCAATAGAAAAAAATTAGTGTAAGATGGAATGGGAGATCACAGGTGACAGAAATTTCCAAGAGGGAGCATATGCCTGATATAAGTTCTCTTGAAGACCAAACACATAGCTCATATGTGGCTACTGACCTAAAGCGTGTGAATTTCCCTTTTCCTAGGGAGCATGCTTTCTATGTGGCAGAAGTAAAAAAGCAGTTTTTCCAGCTTGGAGTTTAAGGTTGGAGCCTTATCCTTTTCATAGCTTCATCTCTTTTCATAAGCGTAAGAGTCCTGACCAAGTGTTTTTATATCAAGATATGTTTGGTGACAAGGTCAGGAAAGTCTAGCCCAAGGTAATGTTAAATCTTAGCATAAGGATGAAGAAAAAAAAATGTTAAGGATTTTAGGCAGTGTTTTTTCAAAAAAGTACTAGTTCTAGTTCTGAAGTACATGTGTGTGGAGGGGCAAAAAGAGAATTACATAGGTAATCAATCTGAGTTTCTGAGCTGCCCTATCCTCCTCTTGCTTCCCTTTCCACACACCTCAGCCCTTCCCCCAGTGCTCCTATGAGTCCTTAGATCTGGTTTTGACCAGCATTTACTTAAATGTGTGTACAAACATATCTATATGTATTTACTTCAATATAAGTATTTCCACGCGCTTTATAGAGATAGGGTTGTTTTTTCCCAAGTATGGAAACAGCACATTCAGTTATTCTTTACCTAAATAAGAATTAGCTGGAATATTGATATAAACTAGTCTTAACTCAGTGTCCAAAGACAGCACACTATCTGCATTTAAAGCTGCTTCAGGAAATTAAGATCTTAAGCTTATAAATACAATGAATTTGTCGTAGCTGTGACAGGCTTTCCTCTTCAACTTGTTTGTAGCTTTTAAAAACTAAAAAACCAAATAACATATTATTATTTCCTAGCTGGGTGCTATGAGCACTGCATCAAAACAGCAAAATTCACAGGGTGAGGGCGGGTGGCTTTGGTTGGTTTTGCGTTTTTAAAAAACAAACAAAAAGTTGATTTTGGACTTAAATCTATAAATATAATTAAGAACTGCACTTGTGGATTCTCTTTGAGTGCTGACCAAGCTAAGCACTGCTCCTCAGCTCTGCACTACTGCTCTGCCACTATGTCTCAACTGATCTCGAACTCTTCCATCTGTGAATTATTCGTTGCCTCTCCTCATGTTTGTCTGCTGGCTATTTATACATCAAACTCTACTATCACAGCATTCACTAGTTTCTCTGAAAGAGGATCTAAATTTGCAGAATAAAATGCTGAAGTTGCACAAACACTCCTTACACTGGGAAAAAAAACCCATAATTCTCATCTCAGAAAGAGCAGAATTACTGTGGATATTTGAAGTATTTCCACTTGGAGCTATTCTAAATACTGCCATTTGATGCAGCCATTTTGGACTTTTAGCAGGCATAAGGGCACAAACCAGCTTACTGAGAATCATTTGCACATATGCTGATAAAGTCCTGGCTTGCAATATACTGAAAAAGCAATCACCAGTAGGCAGTTTAGCTTCCCACAGCTACAGAAAGCCTCTGCCTAAGTGACTGGAGGCTGAAAATCCCTAGGTATCTTATAGCCCTACTCTGTCAGAAATAAGCCCTTGAGACCAGATCTTCAGGTATATGTGCTCGTACTCTCATTGCCTTTGGGAAATCTTTCTAATTTATACTAGCTGAGGAATCAGCCTTTATATATGTAGTCTCCATAATTCTTTTCCTACGATGCCTCTAATAAAATGAGAATTATAGAAACTGAAAGGGTATGAGAGCGTGAAAAGGAAGCGAGTTCCTGCTCTGTCTCATACCAGTAAGAACCTGAAAAAGGCAGAGCTTGGAACAGTGGCTTCAGATCCACCCTGATAAACAGAGCAAAACCTGGCCAAGGCAATGTCCAGAATTATGAGCACAACTCTTGCTCCATTTTTCTTATCTCTGCTACGCTTTCTTCCTGACCTTGGGTAAGTTGATTAACCTTTCTTTTCTAAGTTTCTCTAACTGAGGTATGACTCTGTACCTCCCGTAGAGGCTGTGATGCTTAATTGGCCAATATCTCTCAAATACTTGAAGTGCTTTGGATGAAATATGTTGTGCAAGAGAAATAATTGAAGTCAATGGGGCTGTGACAACTGACACTAGCCGAGGAACTTCCCCCTGGTGTTTAATAGGATCAGAAGGAGGCTTAGTTAAAATGACAGGAAGCCAAAGAGGCATTTGGTGTTAATAAGACCATAAATGAGTCAAAGGGGTTACTATTTGCTGTGGTAATACCCAGAATTTTTCATCTTCCAAGCACTCTATCAGCATCTATTAATTCTCAGACCTCCACTTAAACAGAGATCTGTAATATGTCCCCCATTACACAGATAAGAAAAATCAGACAGATGAGTGATGTGACTTAACCACAGAACAAGATGTGAGAAATCAAATTTGAGCCTCTGGCTCCTAAGCCTATTCTCAGAGCTCCCTTTCTGCCACTCATCTGTTGTGTATATATTTCCTTATCTTTCTGTTTCAATTATGAAAGCCCATCTCCTGATCCTTTTTCTGCAAGCACCCCTGCCTAATTCCCTGTTAGACAGTGCTAGATGCTCTTCCATAAACTTCTCAAAGCTTTCAGACAGAAAGTGGAGCTGGGGGGAATGTTGCTGGGCTGAGCAGCTCTCCTTGTCTCAACAGCCCCTTTTCCCAAGTGCTGAAAAAGATATGAGTATTTGCCCTTCCAAGTATTTTTCATTGTTCACTACCAATTCTCCACAGCACCTGGCTGCTGCACTGCAACCTCTCCTCTCAGAAGTAGTTCATATTAGAGTATGCTGGGACAGGGTCTGTCACTTCAGACTGACTACTGCTCATTGCAGGAGGAAATTCATGACCTGCTTAAGCCCCTAAGGGAAATTATTGCTGTTATTTTAGCTCTTGAAGATGCCTGCCATTAGAAGATGCAAGGCTGAGGTTATGTAAGTGTGCTGGCCAAATCCAGTTGTTCCAGGAAGTCCAACAACAGCTACTCTGCTCTGCTCCTAACCCTCCTCTGTAATGGGTGCCAGGTGAAGCTTTTGGGTGCTCAGTCTGAATAACAGCCTCAAGACGAGTCCCCACAGACTAGTTTCTATGTAGAAGGAATATATGAACTTCAATCTGTACCCTACTTGAAAATACAAAAGTATAATAGTGTGGGGGGATGCTGCTGTGCTGAAGTGTCCCAGCAGATGGAAGTGTAACATGAAATGGGACAAATTATTCAACTGTTATAATGTCATAAATCTATAAATTTGCAACAATCCCAGAGAATATAGTTTATTCTATAATAAAGACTTCCACTGGTGCTTAGAACAACTATGTCACAGCAATATTTGGGGTAACAACTTTTGTACTCTTGTATGGTAGGGCTCTCTCTTCTTTTCTTTCTTCCTTTCCTTTCCTTTCCTTTCCTTTCCTTTCCTTTCCTTTCCTTTCCTTTCCTTTCCTTTCCTTTCCTTTCCTTTCCTTTCCTTTCCTTTCCTTTCCTTTCCTTTCCTTTCTTTCAGTTTCCTTTCCTTTTCCTTTTTTTCCTTTCCTTGTCTCCTTTGTCCGTTCCTTCATCCTTTGCCCCTTTCCGCTTCCGTTTCCTTTCCTTTCCTTTCCTTTGTGCCTTTCCTTTCCTTGCCTTTTTCCTTTTCCTTTCCGCTTGTCCTTTGTCCTCTTGTTCCTTTTCCTTTCCTTTCCCGTTCCTTTTTCCGTTTCCTTGTTTTTTCCCTTCCTTTTTTTTTCCCTTTGTTTTTCCTTTTTCCTTTTCCTTTTCCTGTTTCCGTTTGTAGGTTTTCCCTTTCCTTTTCTCTTTTGGTGTGGGTTCCATTCCTTGGTCCCTTCCTCCTTTTCTGATTTTCGTTTTTTTTTTCGCGGTTACTGGGTTGTCCTTTCCGGCCTTTCACTTTCCTTTCCTTTCCTTTCCTTTCCTTTCCTTTCCGTCCCTTCCTTCCCCTTCCCCTTCCCCTTCCCCTCCCCCTTCCCCTTCCCCTTCCCCTTCCCCTTCCCCTTCCCCTTCCCCTTCCCCTTCCCCTTCCCCTTCCCCTTCCCCTTCCCCTTCCCCTTCCCCTTCCCCTTCCCCTTCCCCTTTTCTTTTTCCAAGTTGTTTACCCTAGATTTACGCTCCTAGTCCAGAAAGCAGAGGTTTGGCTACATTATCTCTACTTAAACTATAGCCCAAAATGGGACAAAAGAGAAAATATAAAACACTACCCAATAAAACCTCAGCACTAACTTGTGATCACATCACAATGAGACACATTTGCACATGTTATTTCCTGGCTATCTAGAGTAGACAGGAACAAGAGAAACAGCCTTTTTTTCCCCTTCAAAAAAAACCCAAAGAAGAGCATTTTAATTACCATAATAATACAAATTTTGGTCCAGATAAAATTTGAAGGAATAAGGAAGTGTGCCTAGATAAGAATTTCCTTTTCTTTTTTTTTTTTTACAGAACAGAAAGGTAAAGAAGGATGGATATTTGCCCTTGATGACACTTGAGTGCTTTGACAGTGACATAACACTTCACATGCATCTCTATTTTATATATTGAGGAGAGACAGCTCATCAGATACACAAACTATAAATCTAAACTGTAAATTCTTCCTATCCAGATGTCTGTTACACTCACACCAAAAAAATTATATGAAAAAATATATTATTTCTGTCCTCTTCTGTGCTCTTTGCTTATTAAAATGTAAAATTTGAGACATTTGATTGAGATATTAGGTTCTTAACACACAGAATATCTTTTGTTACAACAAAGTGAACTCCCTAAAAATTTTAACTCAAAGCCAACAGGTAAGGTTCAGCTGGAAGGGACTCTGACATTGACTCCCTGTATAACCTTAAGGAAATCTCTTTTTTCTTGTGTTCTTCCACTGGGAGCTATTAGAGTCAATTCATTAATGTGCACAAATGTGATTTAAGACCATCAGACAGAAAATATTAAAGGAAAACCACTGTCATCATAGATTTACATTAAATTATCTTAATAAACTGAATACTATGCTGTCTTTAGTTACAAAGTTAAAAAAAAGGTAGGCAGGCAGAGTCACACTATCCTATAACTAACATGGCAGGGAGATCTGTGACAGGAGATGGACAGTTTCACAACAACTAAAACTTCAGAGGCTTTCTGTAAAACTACAGGTGAAAGCAATTACATGTTTCATTTAGAGGCTTCCTAATACTGTTTGTCTGGGAAAAAAAACAAACCAAAAACCAGAAGAGAAAGAAGGTAGCAATTACTATTGGGGAAAATATAAAAGATGACTGCTGTGTGTGTGTCAGGCATTGGGGAAAATTACTACTTTGTCTTTAGCAGAGAGATGACATTATCCCTGCAGCCAAACAGAAGCTACAGTGTAAATGCAAAGTTCAGATATATTCAACAAGAAGAGGTGAGAAATCCAGCTGGATTAGAAACAGAGCCATTCCCAAGCTAATTTGGATAAAGAAGTTTTGCTAACAGTCTAGGCTGCATACAGCAGTTTACTAGTCACTTAGAAGAGGTGGTGGTACCATCCCCATTTTGGAAGCTCTAGCAGGTTAGTGATGGGAACCACCCAGGATGACGATGGGAAGCTGAGTGGTCACAAGCACGAGAGATAGTTGGCACTGAGCTTTTTGCATGTATTTAAATGAATGATAGCCCTGTGCTGCCAAATGGAGAGACTGTACTTTCCTGTTTGGGAATAGATTCCAGGATTGGAATGGTCTACAATGACCCAGTAGGTATATCCCAAATAAAATGATGGCTTATTGGGTATGTGAGCTTTTCACATTTATGCCTGGATTTCTCTGTATGACTGCTGGCTTGGAGGGAAAGACCCAAAGAGTCAAAAAAAAAAAAAAAGGCAGCACAAAAGCCCAAGGGAAATGGGGCAAAACTGTAATGAGAAAAAGGAATAAATAAATGGGAAGTGGTATGTAAGCAGCACTTAAGTCTGTGTGAGGTTAATACCAACCATTTACTCCAAGCTAAATAAATACTGCCTGGGGACTGAGATTAGAGCAGGCAGCTCAGGGGAGGCAGCAGCTTCTCAAAGCTGGAGCCAGGAGGAAGCTCTGGGAGCTCAGCAGTCTGGTGCATATTTCTGAGCATTAGCCCCATCTGACCAAAGGGAATATGATGTTCACAATAAGAGTGAAAACTCTCCATGCCCCTACTATGTCTATCTAATGCAGTGCCATCATGCTGCCAGCCTGTGCAGAGATGTAATGTCATTCTGTCATATTACCATCACAGAGTCTCAGAGCAACTGGAGATGTCATGAGCCCTGTCCAAACTGAACACCTTGTGTAGACAACAGCTTGAAATGTCTCTTTCCCACTTTATAGTCCCAGTTCAGAGACAAATAAGCAGACAGTCAAATGCAGATCAAAATCCTCTTTTGAATACTCTGCCTCTTGTAATACTTCTGCTTTTTCAGAAGCAGGTATTGGATAAAACTGCTCAGGCACAGCCTTCAGTCAGAAGTAGGAGCCAAATTATTAATTTACTTCTTCTGATTCTAATTACATTCTACCTCCAGACATGTAATCAGGCTTTTATTCACCTAACTGCTTTATTCTCTAACTAGCAATTCATCTGAAGAGGTTTTCCTGCAGGATTTTCACTGTAAGGATCTTTTTTTTTGTGTTAGAGAAGGAATTCACTGCTTCAGTGCAACACTTTTGCTCATTAAAAATAATTTCTCAGCAAGTTTAGTTGCAGTAGCTCTTCAGTCATATTAGAGACCCTGTTGCAGCATTACTTCCAGAGAACATGCTAAAGATCAGCAGGGAAAATGAAAGGGAAAGAAGAAAACAAGAGGCTGGAAGGACAAGAGAGATTGCTGCAAATTATAAGCAAGCCCAGACATGCTGGTGCTCACTGGGATACTGATTCAACCAGCCCTTTGAAATGTGTTTGACCATAAAGTCAGTTTGTACCCTCAAAGGAATTTCTCACCTACTCACAAATACAGTTCTCTGTGTATTTTCTCTCTTGCCTCATTCTCTTCCTGGCTCCCTTCCCCCTTACATCATCCCTGGCTTTTTACCTTTACTACCACATCTTCTGTGCTCACTAGAGATGCTTTGAAGCTTGCTTTCACAACATAGACTCATTCCAATCTTTAGGGAAATGTGCTACAGAGAGAGCAGGGAAATGTGCTACAGAAAGAGCCTGTAGTTTATATCAGCAAATTTGCTAACACAAGCACATCACCCCAGAGAGATGGCATGCAGTGAGTTTACTGCAGCTCCTTTGCTTTTGGAGCAGACAACTCCCTCCTCAGGAAGTTTTGTGTGTGTATGTGTTTTGTGGGGCAGCCCTGCAGCAGCCTGTTCCGTTACAGTATGTAATATTAATTGACAACTTTCAGTGTAGCTCCTGGTTTTCAACTAAGTAAGAGAACTGGCACAGTCTGGAGATGAAGAAAGATTATTTCAAGACACAAAGCATGTTAATCTCCCTTCTGACTTAAGCACAAGCACCAGTCAATGATTATTTCTAATATACCACGTAAATAATGACTCACATTATTCAGTGAAGCATCAGCTTAGACAAATACAGAAAGTAGCAGTGTACTACTTTTCATTCAGTGGGCCAATTTCACCTCCAAGGTAAGTCAAAAGCCTTCCTGAAGCTCTTAATCAGTTGAATACAGCTTTGTTTTAATAAAATCAACATAGAGTTCCCTTAGTGTAAAAGTGCTAATCACTGCAGGCAATTCATGATGGCACAATGACATCTACTTTTCTTTAAGCAGCAGAACAAGGAGGAGTGTGGTAGCCTCCTGGACACAGGAAAAATAATGTGACTCTTCAGCCTAAGGGAACATACTAAAAGCTCAAACAAGAAACTGCTGTATTTGTTTAGAGAGGGAATATTGCTCTAACCTAAAGAGTCAATATGCCAGAAACCACCCTGCCTGAGGTGAAACGAGACATAAAGTTACCAGGAGTGTTCTGCAAGGGGACAGCCAGTACTGCAGAAGGAAATAACTAGTTGTGATTTTCTAGACCTTTGCCATCTTTAGTCTTATCGAAAAGAGCTGTCATGGTCATTGTGGCCATGTAATCTCCTAGGAAGACAAGGGAATATAAATTTGGGCCTCCAGGCTTCAGAGGGTCATGTCAGTGTTAACTACTGACTTCTTTGTACCTCTGCTGCATCTCAGGAGTTCTTTGATTCACTTCTAGCTCTCTGCTTCTGGCACTGGTAGGTGAGAAATGGCCCTTCTACCTGCTTTTAAGCCCTGGGAAAATTCTGCAGTCTGTTTTATCTCTATTATCTGTTCAGCTGGTGTAATTGGGTTGTTGCAGGATGGATGAAGCCAGAACTGAGAAATAGGTTTCCATGAGTTACTGAAAGGAGAAAATGTAAACAAAATCTAAGACTTGAAGTTAAAATCTTAGACACTTCCCTCTCTTCCAAAATCTCATCTGTAACACGTCAGCAAAACAGATGGTGTAGGAGTACAAAAACATATTGAGAGACTGTCTGTCCTCCTCAGAGTGGTCCAAAGGTGATGATGATAATGCCTAGAGAGCATCTTTCACCAAGAAGGGGAAGAAGTAGTTTTTTCATTCAACAAAAGATGGAATTTAAGCAAAGAGAATGTGAAATGAGGAGGCCAGCATCAAACAGCAGAGGCTGAACTGAACTTATAAACAGATTTTCTAGATGTCAGGCTAGTACCCTCTCCCAGAAGGTGTGCTTAATAAAGCACTTAAAAGAAAAATCAGGAAACTGTTACACAGAAAAAACAACCCCACAGAACTGTGGAAAAAAGCCAGAAAGGATGCACTGGAACTTCCTTTTTCTAAACAATTAATGGGACTACTGCTGGCCCTTGTATATGCAAGAATATATGAATACCTGAAGAGAAACAAGCACAAACTGGCAGCACTGGTATAAGAAAAAGCCTCAAAAGCATCTGTCACTCTTACCTGTCCTTTATTGAGTGCAATACATGGCTTCAAGCAAGACTTGCCAAAACCAAATAGATCACCAGCCCATGGGGTAACCATTGTACACTAGCCCAAATTCAAACTGTCTGACTTTTTTTACCTGAGGCAGCATAGTTAGCATCACAATCATGCTGGCCAGGACTCATCCATCATCACTTAGGCCCTTACATCTGAGAGAGTTAATTAGATTTCCTTCAGTGAGGGCATTTCCAAGGCTGAATTCACCTGGTGTCTTTTAGATGTCCATTTTAGAAAAAAGGGAGAGAGATACCAAGTTCACATCCTCCCATGCTTAACCTCCAAATTTGAAATGCGTATGCATCGAACAGATAAATATACATCCTTTACTGAACTGACTCTTAGTCAAATAGATAAGAACAGAGGATTGAGACAGATTCACATAAAATTCAAGTAGTAAGAGCTAAAATGAAAGGTTACAGGAAGTCCTCTGTAGGACTTCCCCTTCAAAGGGAAAGCTTGTGTGCCACAAAGACCAGTAATGGTAATATACTCCACTAGATACATTCCCCTGTTTTGATGCATACTGCCAGGAGGAAAATGGTAAGACTCCATACTGTGCTCCACCAGGATGTTTGCTACAAAATTTAGCGTATACACAAGGTAGGTAACGCAATAGGTCAACATAGAGACTGGTTATTAAGTTCAATTCTGCAAATGACTGCAAATCAAGACTAATTAACTAAAAGTTA